GGGGTCCTGGCACTTTGTCAAGAAGGTGAAGTACTCGTCACCAATCTTCTCAATCTCGAACAGACCGCACTGCGTTCCAACATCCGAATCCTGCAAGTCATCCACCCGGTTGACGATCGTGGCACCCGTGGCGCGTGCGATTCTGTTGTTGTCCGTCTTTCTGACACGGCGCAGAGCTGTGATGTTTGCCTTCATGAAGTAATGCTGTGCGAGATCGGACACACCCTTCTCCGTAATGACCAGGTCGGGCTTGACAGCAATGATTGAGTCGCACATGGCCTTGACCTGCTCCTCCTCGATCTGCAGAATGCGGTTCCAGTCCTCCTCCTTTGTGATCTCGATGTTGGTCTGCGACTCTCCCTTCTTGTACTCCAGGGTGCAATCCAGGAGGACAATTCTGGGGTTCTCGATTCTCCTCCGCATCTTGGGGTGTGTAATGTCCTTGTTCAGCATGACTCCGTCCAAAACTCTGCTGTCCTCGATCTCGCCACCGGGAACCTTCTCCACACGAGCGTATCGCTTGATGTCGACCTCCTTCTTTCCGTTGCCGACCTCCCAGGTAACGGTGCGCACAGCGTTGAGCGCAAGCTGGCACATGAGATCCGACCACCGCGAAACAAACTTGGTGCCGATAGAAGAAGAGATCAGGCTTCTCATGGCCTCATCGTCGTTGATGTCGATCGGCATGGAGACCTCCTCGATGATCTCCAGGGCGTCTTTCAGAGCGCGCTTGAAGGCGGAAATAATGACGACGGGGTGAATGTTACGTTCGAGCTGGGGGAGGGATTGCGCAAGAATCTCGCCAGCTGAACAATGTTAGCTCTGAGCTGCTTGACCTCTTTAACTGTTCGGGGAACTACTCACCCAGAATGATGACCGTTGTTGTACCATCGCCAACCTCCTCGTCTTGTGTCCGACTGAGCTCAATCATGCTCTTGGCGGCGGGATGCGACACCTCGATCTCTCGCAGGATGGCGTGGCCGTCGTTGGTAAGGACGATACCGCCCATGGGGTCCAGCAACATCTTCAACATGGCCTTGGGGCCCAAGCATGATCGGATAATATCGGCGACACTGTAATCGGCATTAGGGGAGGCGCAGGCAGCAGCAGCAGCAGCAGCAGCAGCATGGCTCGAGTGGATGGACATACGTCTTTGCGGCAGCAATGTTGGACATCTGCGCCTTGCGGCCAGTCTGTCTCTCACCGCTCTGGGTGTCTGGAGGATAGCATCGTCAGTCCTTGTTCGAGGTACACCTAGGCTCCCGGGATAGGGTCAGGAGCTTGGGGGATGGAGGGGCTCTCTTACTCATAACCAGGACGGGGGCCTGCATCTTGAAGTCGGTTTTGGCTGGTGACCAGAGAAACTAAGACGTTACAAGAGAGACAGGAAGATTGGGAAAGCTTTCGGGGTGGAAAGCTATTGGGGGACCGGGCTGAAGGTCGGAAGGGTTCGCGTGTTGTGCTCCTTTCGAGGGGTCGTCTAGAGCTCCAGTATTGACTTGAGCCCCAAAAAGTTCGGGCTCTGCCTGCCAATTTTTGGAGCTATCGCCAAAGATGGAGAAATGTTTTTACCAGGTGCTTGTCAACCGGGGATTTTGGTGGGTCCGTGCGTCACTCAGGTATCAAAAGAACCTCGATGACTTTGTTCTTCATACACTACAACATGTGATTTCTATGCTCAGAACTTTTATCATACTTGCATTCCATGCCATCTTTTAATTTAATTTGGCAGTTATCATGGTTCTGAACACTGAAGCACATCTTATTGATATGTATCTGGTTGTGGACCCTGATGCTGGCACCAAGTATAGCCTGGAAAGGGGTCTACTTTGCGGCATCCACGCCACACTGGTGTAGAGAATCGCGTGGCATCACTGTGACGCGTCTCACTCGGCCTATTTTTTGAGAACGAAGTACACTCATATGGAATGTATGACTCTAACCCTGGTTTCCGACTCCCACAAAGACAACCAGGACAGCAGCGTACGCAGCTGTGGCCGACATGACGTCTTTGCCCTTGTCGGCATAGCCGGCCATGAACGCTCCGAAGAAAGCCACGAACAGCGTTGTTGAGACCAACGACGTTGTGAGGTCATCTCGCTTGACCATCAGCCACATTGGTCCGATCAAGAAGGCGCCACCCACGGTAGCCATGAGGACCCGGTCCCTGATGCCTTCGATGCGAGACTGTTTGACGTTGTCTAGTCTGGTGCCTCCTATGGGTTGCATATCTTCTTCCCACGGATCCGCCACCGAAATGGGATCTTCGAACTCCCCCGGGTCAATCTTCAAGAGATCGAAGACTGTCCGAATGACAAAGTCATCGACGGTTCGCTGGCCAGTCACGAGAAACGGATCTCGTTGAGACTTGCTCCGTTCGATCATGTAGTCATAATTCTTGATGGCCTCGACTAGTAAGACGGCCCATATGTGTTAGTCGAGGAATGGTTTCGCACGAGCATCCGCCCGCACACTTACTGTAGGACTGAAGATCGCTCTCCCACTCGTCAGGCTCGTGGTCCTTGTACCGCATCTGTACAGCATGCTGTACTAATCTATATTGCAACTTTCGCAGGCGAATCCGCTGCAGTTCCACCAAGCTGACCTGAAAGCTATGGTCCGGGTCGCGTCGAGGGTAGTATTGAGGTTGAGCAGCCGTGTCTTTCCTCCCATACCACAACTTGCGCGCCCCCTTTGCGAATCTATTTTCCTTCTGGCGTTGTATACCGAAGATCAGTCCAGGCTTGTGATGGCGAAATATCCACGAATCCGGCAGTTTCACATCGGGGAGCGGACCAAGAGATGTCGTCCTGACCCTTCCGAAAGACCGATTGCCGTCGATGCTTTGACGAGGACTCGAGCCTGCACGCGGGCCAGTCGCAAAGGACCCCTGACGAGACCGCATTGAGTCTGGGACTTTAGGACTCCCTCTGGAGAAAGTTGGTGTCTTTCCATACACACTTGCCGCCGGAGTGGCCCTTTGCACAGACGGAGAACGTCTGCCATCTGGAAGACTCTCTTGCGACCCGACATGCCCCGAAGGCGTAACGCTCTCGTCACTATATCTGGGACGAGACTGTGGTTCTTGGCTTTCTATGAAGTCGTGAGTAGATGTTGCCTCCAAATCGGAGCCCTTCTCGATATCTGCTTCAGGTCCTGCGCTCATGACTGGACTTTCCATCTTTAAAGTCTTCTATCATGGAAATTGATCAAATGAAGGAAAAGTCGTCCTTGCAATTGGGGAGGCTGAGTTGTGCGCACAACCTGCCGCTGCGGCATCGGCTGAGTCCGAAGCATGTCAGCTGCAATGCAACACTGCATCCTCAGCCACACATTCACCGAATCAAAGCTCCACGGCAGCCAATTACGGTCGATGTCAGCACGTCTTGCCCGCCTTGAGCCCAGTGGCAGTGAAAATCAGTGTTCTTCCGCTTATATGGCGATGAGATGAATGGTGATCCATCGGACGAAGATTAAAACATAAATCGCGCCAATACTATCGTTCAAGGGCAGATTTCCGATTTGAATCATTTTCTACTCGGACAAATCTTCATTTGCAAATCACCATTCCCCTGGTCTTGAACATTTCCTAGTGGGACCTCGTCCTTCAGCACAAAAACAACATGAGTACCCTGACAGCCACCCTCGACCTGAAGATAACATTCAACGACAACACAAGGCGAGTTCACATCACATTTCAGTCAACTGCCCAGGCATTTGCATACTCGCAATACATTTCGCAAAGATCAATAGTCAAGAGGGAAACACTGGCCGTCTCTCAGACCGGCAGGGAAGTGTCCCTCCGACTACCGTCCAGGGTCTCGCAGATAGTGGCCACGACAACGTATGGAGGATTCTGTTTCGTCTTTGACGACGCGCAGCTCGCGCGCGACTGGGCGAGAAGCTTTCTGGTCTGGAAGTTCTACCCCCAGAGCGAGCGCAGGCTCTATGTGGACCGTTTCGTGTCAGGCGAGGCCCTCAACAGCTGGGTCGGCATCCCCTCAGTACCGCCTGCCTACCGCCATGTACCACAGCAGCAGCCGGTCGTGGAGTATCCGGTCGTGCATCTGCCTGGGAAAGCACTGAATTCCAAAGGACCAAGGGTATGAGGAAAAGATACGGTGCCCAAGGAGTTCATCTCCATGAAGCGACACTCCTGAGATCAAAAGACGACAGGCATCCGGGCTGCGCAAAACCACGGAGAACAGACATGACTCAGGCACTCCTAGAATGCAAAATGCGTATTCTACAATATTTGTGGACACAACACAGCTGTTAACTGATACGATGACGACTTCACGAGCAAGATTGATCCATTTTTCTTTACCCAGAGGATCGACACAGGTGGCCTGTGGCTCTACTCGATCCACAAGAGCATCTTGGAAAAGAATCCTGACTTGACTGTCTTTTCACGCATGACGATTACAGCAGCCATCATTGAGGGGGAAAAGCATCATGGCGCCCTCAAAGCCCTTCAAGAATTAGGATCGCCTCGGGTTCGAACCGAGAATACAATTGTCAAGAGGAAGTCGCCATCAAAGTACGAAAAATTTGGCGTGTCTGCCGAAAAAGATTCAAAAGGAAGGAACGTTCTGACGCTCTCCAGGCGTTTGTTTTTGGAAGGTTCGTTCTCTAGACCACGCTAAGCAGCCCGGCGTGGGACAATCTCACGACATGGGCAGAAAGATCACGGCCGCCCTCGAACAAATGCTTCACGCCCCAGAACAGAACAACAAAACACCAAAAAAAATCATCGTCAGGTCCTCATGACGCTCAAAAAAAGGACCGCCTGGGGATCGAACCCAGAATCTTAGACGCGCCTCTGGGTTGGCCGCGCCAGGGGCTAACCAAAGGCGCGCCGCGGGTGCGCTAGTCCCAATTCGTGTCTAGCCTCGCCAGATGGGAAAACCCATGGACCTGACTGAGACTGGAAAACCTTTTTGATATAAACACCAAAAAAATCATCACAATGTCCTTCAGACGCTCGAAAAAAAACAAAAAGGACCGCCTCGGGCTCGAACCGAGAATCTCCTGATGTCAACTGATTACAACTCCTTTTGACGGGAAGCCGCTCGTAGTCAGACGCAATGCCAATTCTGCCAACGGTCCTTGCTGAAAAAGCCCTGATTAATTCGGTTTATGGTGGATCTGTATGCAAATTTTTCATTCCATTGTGATGGCTTCAATTTGTCGTGGAGGGCGACGAGCAGCGAGTCGGGATCCGGCTACTAGGTACAATAATGGTCGGTCCCGGGTGGCCCCACAATATTGTATTGTCGGCATAGATTGGTAAGCCGGCTCGGACTCGATTATGTCAATGCCCGAGGAGCAGGCCAGCAGTAGTATACGATTAGCTGAGCTCGGAGCGACGTTGCGATTTTTGCTGCCTATACCATACTGATGTAATCATCGATTCTATCAGCATCTTGCCAAGCTGGAAAGTTTTCTAGCCTCGCTGCGCATTGGGATATGGCGAGAGTTTATGACTCGACCGCGACGCGAGGTGTTTGTTCTGCTGATTTTATAAGGAAGGGAATGATCCAACAATATGAACATTTTATCTGATCATATCGCTTCATCACTGTTCTCCCATCCTATCATTTACAAGCTACTGCTTACCCCAATAATGTCTCGTACTGTATTGATCACTGGTGCCACTGGCAAACAAGGCGGTTCTGTGGTAGCTGCTCTACTTGCCGCCAAGGCTGATTACCAGATCCTCGCCCTCACCCGAGACGCCTCTTCTGTGTCGGCGCAGAGACTCGCGGCCAAGTCCTCCAAGATCACAATCGTCCAAGGAAATCTCGACGAAGCAGATGAGGTCTTCAAGACCGCGCGGAAAGCTACATCGTCGCCCATCTGGGGCGTTTTCAGTGTCCAGGTTCGTATATGATCCTTCCAATACAAGCTGTTCGTCCGGCGAAACAGCTTTATCTAACGCTATATCTCAGACACCGGGCATGAACAAGAACGGGCCCATCATCGAGGAGAAGCAAGGTAAAGACCTGGTCGATGCCGCGCTCAAGAACGACGTCCGGCACTTTGTCTACTCGTCCGTCGACCGCAGCGGCGCCAAGTCGATCGAGAACCCGACCGACATCCCGCACTTCAAGAGCAAGCACCACATCGAACACCACCTCATGGACAAGACCAAGGGCGGCAGCCCCATGAGCTGGACTATCCTCCGGCCCGTGGCGTTCATGGAGAACTTTGACGGCGGTTTCGTAGGCAAGATCTTTGCGACCTGCTGGAGGGACGGCGTCAAATCCCGCCCGCTCCAGCTGGTCGCCACGAGCGACATTGGCTACTTCGCGGCCAAGGCGTTCATGGAGCCGGACGCCTTCAGGAACAAGGCCCTGTCGCTCGCCGGGGACGAGCTGACGTTTGAGCAGATGACGGCCGTCTTTCGAGAGAAGACGGGGGCGGACGTGCCGCTGACGTGGGGCATCCTCGGCGGCTTGACGCTGCGGCTGTCCAAGGAGATGGGGACAATGTTTGCCTTCTTTGAGAGGGAGGGCTACGGGGCCAATGTCGATGAATTGCGGCGGATGCACCCCGGACTGAAATCGTTGGGCACTTGGCTGGAGTCATCTACGTATGTGGAGGGGGCGTGATAATGAGGAATTGTAGCGATGGTGACACCAGGATTAGATGGGATGACCTTGGCCATGTATTATCATTATCAGCATTATTAGAAATTGCCTGCGTTAACTCTTCAACTTTCATTATAAAAGCTCCGTATCTTTCCAACCCATGAATATATTTTCCTCCTTATTACTGACTCTGCCGATATATACTTACTTTACAATGCCGCATATGACAAGGCAAGACTGCAATCAATATCACACGAGCTCTCAGTTTACTGAAATTGTCGTCAGAAACAAGTAGAAAAATTGGAAAGAAGGAAATGCTTCTTATCAACTCTCGGGGTTTGTCTGGGCCTCGCATTTTACTATAGTCCGAGCAGTCCCGCTGAAACTTTCAGTGGTGACAAATCCACGGATGTCGTACCGAGTATTCTAGAGAAACTTCTGATGCTTGACCGTTAAAATAGGATACATTCCATTTGATTGTAGGAAGAGGCTGTCTTGGCGGATTGTCAGTTGGCATTCTAGACGCCAGCTGGAGATTGTTGCTAAAGAAACTCAATTTGGGCACTGGGTTGATCAAGACTAAGTGGACTTCGCTCCCGAGCCGGTTCTGATATGGCTCGCTGCGAATGCATAATGGACAGTCGCAACATGGCGTCATCGAGTGAGAACAGATCTACTTCTCGAAAAGCGACTACCACCCTATCCTGTTTTGGCTGTCGCAGGAGTAAAGTGAGATGCGATCGTCAAACGCCCTCGTGCGGGCGCTGTCAAAAGTCGAAAGTAGAATGTTCTTATCCGACCGAGAGGCGCCTGGGCGGCAGGCTCAAATACAGTACGGGAATTCGACTGCAAACAAGTGAGATACTCTAGTATTGTGAATCGCGTGCTGCTGCTAACGAGTTATCACGATAGCATCGGATGACGCCTCAAATACTATCGGGGACATGCACAGCAGTGGTCAAGCTGGTGGTGACATTGTAGCCCAGGATATTAACCTAGACCACGCGGTACCAGCATCACAAGTGGACTATCTCGACTGTGGTCTTAGCAAAGATGACGCGCAGCACCTGTGAGTCATGTGAGAAGATGGGTTGTTGGTATCATTCGCTGACCGAATAGTACCGACATATATTTCGAAACTGTGCACGGCGTCTGCCCTATCCTACACCACACCAAGTATATGGAGTCGCTACCTCTCCCCAGTCCACTCAAGCCTGCAACATGCCTTCAGTATATCATCATGGCACTGGCAGCTACTCATTCGGAGCATCATGTGAAAATGAGCCACCCTCTTTACCGCCGAGCAAGAGTTTTAGCCAACACAGGTGAATCGACTGTGAGTTTTTCGTCGAAGGATCAGTCTTTGGTATGTTGCTGACTCGACATGGTCAAGGACATGCAAACAGACGTGCCTAATATACTACACGCCCAAGCTTGGCTCTTGATTGCCATGTTCGAAGGCCAACAAGGAATCTTTTCACGTGCATCCATCAGCTTCAGCTATAGCGTGCGGGCAGCGCAAATGTGCCAATTACACAAGCTGCCAGGGAACGACCATTATCCACAAGAATCAATGCCACCGGAGTGGTGGCAGATCGAAGAGCAACGTCGGACCTGGTGGGCGCTTTTCAATACCGATCGCCTTCTGAGTGCCACGACCGGATGGCCGTCTCTGATTGATATGAATGATGTAGGAGCCCCTTCCTTTCCCTCTTTTCGAGCATCATTTCGAAAATGCTGTCAAGATGCTGAGCTCCCAGTGTTTCTAGGTCTGCACTCCCTTACCCGCCTCAGATCATTCCTTCGCGGACGGACAACCTGAACCCTGCCGCACATTATATTCGCTGCTCGGCGATTTCGACCTGCCAGCCTCCAATTTCGTGCGCAACATAGTAGCTGCTCATCTCTTTCATGAAAGCGTCTTGGTGGGCTCGAGCACCTTCTCAGATGCCGAGCTGTGCGACACAGACAATGGTGGCTACTGGAAACAGCACAGACGACTGGATGATCATCTGACCATCTTGCGTACGAGCATTTCCAGCACCGCTCCACACCTGAATTATAGGAATCCACACGAAGCGTCTGTACACTTGGTCGTCCAAGCCGCAACGATACGTCTTCATCAATCCGCCATCCAGAGACTCCAGGCCCTCGACCCATCCAATCTGTTGATGGACCAGAGCGAGGACCGCGCATTCTTGGCAGCTGAAGAAATAGTGCACATCATGAAGGCCACTTCGAACGCCCAGCTGATTATGCGGAACCCAATAGCATTATTTTCGATGGCGTCGGCTCTTCTTGTCATGATAGGCCACCTCGATGCTGATGATAGTTCTCATCACGAGGATAACTTGGTGTTTCTCCTCAACATGCTGGCAATCGCCGGGAGAGGAAACCCAGTAGCGAGGTCCTTGGCTGAGCAGCTCGTGGCCCAGGCGAAATCACCAGAGACCGACCAAGGAATAAACCATCAGGTGAGGCATGCTGCGGTTCCCTGGTCAAGAATTGCCTGCTGATAAACACCGCCCAGTCATATAACCTCGCCATGTCGAGCGCAGGTCCAATGCTTTCGTTTACGAGCTCTGATGCGTGTGATACTTCGTTTCGATTACCCAGCCCACCTATTCATGAAGTCTGATGTTAATCGGTTATTACTCCATTTGCAAAACAAATCGATCGCTTGAAAATCATTTCACTTAGGAGACTGCCCTTCCAGTACGGAATTCCTGCCGGCCTGGATCTCGTCAAAAGATTGCACAAATCAAGATTCAACACAATCTGTCTGCATTCTCAGGAAAGCGTGAGAATAAACAAACACGCATTTACAGTGTCGAACTATGAAGAGCAAATCAGTGATGTGTGTCTGGCTTATGTAGAAACGGATTTCGCAGCTTCTTTTATTTCCATCTCGCGTTGACCTGCTTCTTTCAGCGTCCAAAAGAGCCAAGATGTCGGGGTAAGACTAGTCCGCAAAGTTCGGGATCGGCAATGCGGTGCCGCCTATGTGAGTGGCGGCTCTCCGCTCCGGAGACTGCCTATCTACGCCCTCCGTTTACAAATCTCACGATCCCTCTTGTTTTGATTTTTGACCAAAACACTTTGATGTTTTCAAGCTTGTGGTATTATCAAAGTGTACAATAAGGACCAGAGATACACGCAGGCGTCTCTTATACACCCTCCTCAACGACCGCAAACATGGCACCGTCGGCGATCTCGGAGGTCCCACCCACTGTGTTGCCGAGCAAGGCCGAGGACCAAGTCCAGCAGTCAGATGCTGGCGTCCCTCTCGCTGCTAGAGATGGGCTGGACAAGACGCCATTGGAAGCCATCTCCCATGGAACTGCTCTACCTGGTGAGTGATTACCGCCCGAAAAAAAATTCAGTTGACCCCGCGCGCCTCCGATATACGCCGTTCGGCTTTCATCCGATGTGGCGATTTTTCAAAATACTACAATTTAGAAACTGACGCGAAATGCCGTGGCAGGAATCCCGACATTCTCCAGCTACGCCGAGGAG